CCTCCTTCAGGGAACGAGGGTTACATATGTAACCGAGACGTTTTTCTGACATAGTGAATTTGCTCGGAAGCGCACCCGGTACAGCATTGCACTTGCAGTGTGAAGCACTTGGGTGTGATAAAAGAGATCAAAGACTTGTAGACAAAAACTAAAATAACATGGGTTCTTCAACAAATGTGTTTTTTTTTTTTCACATTTGCTATTAACACTATTGGTTTAGGATTAGTGTTGGTGGTACACTATTTTCAAACGCGAAATGCATTAACCTTTTAGCACTCACCGGACATTTTATTTCCGAATTGCAGTGCATTATCCAACGTAATAAAATGTTGCAACAATCATGTTTAATTGTTTCAGAGAAAATGGAACAGACTATTTAGTGCCATGAAACAGCAAAGCACATAGCTCTTTTTGCAAAAATGTACTTATGTAAATGTACTTCCTTATAGCACATCTCGTGGAAGTGTCATCTAAAAAGTGGCACGAAATGTACCTGTATTTCAAGTTTTGCAGAAATGTAGGAAGAGTCACATATTTCCAATGAGCTTGGTTAGAAATATCAACATGCATCATTCAGACTGCAGTCAAGCTTGATGCAATCCATGTGACGAGTTCCATCGGATATTTTAAGGGCAGAAGCTTTTCGGTCTGTCACTCCTGCAGGACAGAAACATTGAGAAATCCAAAGTGACGTGCTGTGGTTTGTGACCTGTCCTCGTTGCCTTTCTATCACCACCATTTTCTCAAGGACATGAAAAATAAATATACGGAGCCACTAAACACTTGACCCTGCTTTAAAACAGAAAGAGGCCCAGGGCTCCGGTAAAGCTCCCTCCTCTTTCAGGTGGAACATGCCTAGGGCAAATCCTAGCAGGAAACCCACAGTGCTGCCCCGCAGGCGATCTGTGTCCTCTGTCCTGTGAAGTCCTGTGTTCAGTATGAGGGTGACTGACAGCAGGCAGGGAGGCCCTGCCTGGACTGGGACACCCCGGGGATTGTTGTGTTCAGCATAGGAACTTATTTTGGAAGACAGACAGGTGGGGAGGTCTGGTTCTTACCTAAAAATCTTCTCTGGAGCCTGCTCCCCTGTGACAATGTCGTAGCCTCTTTCCAGGTTTGAGTAAGGCCATGGACTGTGGGATGAACACACAAAAAGGCTTTGTGAGTATAAATGCTAAGGGTTTTAGCTAAAAAAACAATAATAGTAACAGTAATGAACTAAATCAGGGGTGTCCAATCTTGCTCCTGGAGGCCCAATGCCCTGCAGAGTTTAGCTACAACTATAAATAAAGATACCTGAACCAGCTAATCAGGGTCTTCAGGATTACTCGAAACTTCAGGTGTTGCAGCTAAACTCTGCAGGAAGGTGGCCCTCCAGTTTCAGAATTGCACAACCTTGAACTAAGGTTTCACATTTTCTGAAGAGAATGTATGAGGCGCTTATCTGAAGTGGTGAAAAAGTCCATTACGATGCTAGGATGCTGCAGTATTTCTAAGGTGTTGCTAGGTGGTTACTAAAGAGAACTGGGTAGTTGTTAGATGCAAAACTAACCCCTATGATTCCACAGTGTTGCTTTCCAGTTGCCATACTTTACTATCCGATACAATCATCACATATTAGATCAAATTGGGGTTGTTCAAAAACATTGATATTTTTCAGCACAGCTTAACGTGCTTAAATGTGTCATATCCTCCGGGTTTGAGCGCAGTGACTGGACTGCATTATATTGTCGATAAGATGGTGATTAATCATAATAAACATGGCGCAATAATAAAAACAATAACATTAAAAATACAATTAAAACATTCACAAATCGAATGTGAAAAAGGCCTGTTTGCTTGAGTGAGTTAATTCCTCACAATCCCCCTGTAGTTTCTTCATGAAACCCAGTTTGGGAAACCTGGATATGATGTAATATTGTTAATAATAATGAATAGAATACATTTTCTTTCTCTTTGTATTTTTATATCCACATGGTACAAGAGTATTTTATTCAAATCAACGTACTAAACAAGCTGGGTCAAAATAAATCGAAAAATAATCTAAAGTAGTGTAATTATATTAATAATAATTCATTACATTTTTATATAGCGCTTTTCTGGGCACTCAAAGCGCTTTACATTGTGAGGGGGTATCTCCTCACTGACGAGTTCCATCGGATATTTTAAGGGCAGAAGCTTTTCGGTCTGTCACTCCTGCAGGACAGAAACATCGAGAAATCCAAAGTGACGTGCTGTGGTTTGTGACCTGTCCTCGTTGCCTTTCTATCACCACCATTTTCTCAAGGACATGAAAAATAAATATACGGAGCCACTAAACACTAGAGTTTGGCCAGTATGCCGAGGTCACACCTCTACTCTTTTCGAAAGACATCCTGGGATTTTTAATGACCATAGAGAGTCAGGACCTCGGTTTAACGTCTCATCTGAAGGACGGTGCTTTTTGTCAGTATAGTGTCACTATACTGGGGCATTAGGACCCACACCGACCACAGGGTGAGCACCCCCTGCTGGCCTCACTAACACCTCTTCCAGCAGCAACCTAGTTTTCCCAGGAGGTCTCCAATCCAGGTACTGACCAGGCTCAACCCTGCTTAGCTTCAGTGGGCAACCAGTATTGGGCTGCAGGGTGATATGGCTGCCTATTGCCTAGAATGTATAATTTAATAGATTACGTTATTAAAATTTTTACAATTTCTAAGTCATATACGCAGCACTGTCCTATGTTGTGTAAGTCTCAGTCTGGAGTCGATGTCTGGGCTGAAAGTTCGGCTGTTGTTTTATTAGCCCAACTGTTTTCTTGAGTGAGTTCATTAACATGCGCCGCAAGAGTCAGGAAGAGGAGTTACTACACTTGGCATGAGGTGAGGTGATGAATCGCATCTCTCTCTGTGTTACAGTCTTTCTCTTGCCCCTTCTCATCTCCCTCCTGTCCTGGCTTTTAGTTCGGCCTATTTGTGAGGCGTTGACAGAGTGGTTTGCAGCACTCACCCTTCATTGCGGCCCCAATCTGTGCGGACGCAGAGATGTTTATGCTCGGGGTCAGGGGCATAACCTTCCAGACAGCTGCATTCCCCTGCAGAGAGCAAAACACAGTGACAGATTATGTTCATTTATCCCTCAGGCAAATCAACCGCATGTCCACGTGGCACCCAGTGCTTTCGCACACACATGGATTCGCTCCAGACAAAAGGCTTTCAAAGTACAGTTTGTCCTATATACAGTCAAGTCAAGTGGGAAGAGTGACATGAGCGAGCTGCTTCTGTCTCTGACATCTTCACTATCTTGAAAGATATCACAGAGCTACTCAGCTCTCAGAAGGTGATGCTAGGAGGCGAGGATACGAGAATGATACAGCTCCTCTGGGAATCTCAAAATCGTGGGGTGAATCTCAAGAAAATACGTCCATGTCATATTTGAGATCAAAAGCATGACTTCAATGAATATAATGTTGTATTGTGTCATGTATGGTGTAAAAGTCACTGAGGCATTAACAATGTTCTGTACTTTAAATGTATTTAAATATCAATTAATTTAAATATTAATATCAAATGGGGAAAATATTGCCATGTATTCATGTTAAAATTACAGAGAATGGAAGCGTATTTTTGCCACAGATTGTGACTTTTTTCAAATCAATTCTGATTTTATATATCACAGTCCTGAGATTATATTTTGCAATTCAAACTTTGTTTTTCTCTCAGAATTATGAATTTATATCTCACAATTGTGAATTTATACATTGCTATTTCTTTTTGACCATTTATTTATTGATGTTCCTTCCTTCAAACAAGCTTCTATATGAGAGTGAATAAATGATGAAAGAATTTCCAATTCATTTTTTTATTAATTATTTTGTTTATCGTTTTTTTTTTTTTTGAGATTTCACTTTTTGAAAGACTGAAAAACTACTCTGTATATTTGTATGCATTCATCTCTTTTAGACATGAGCTCTATAAATGTCGATAACATAGAAAAACTTATGTATATA